ATCTTTTGAAGCTGTGCAAGATAATAAAGAGACATCAGTCACAGTTTCACAACAATTAACTAATTAAACAGAAGTTATTTTTGTCACCAAAACTATTAGGCCATAAAGGTAAAATGTTTCACCATACTGAAAGTCAAGCAAATCTTAGGCCTCAAGATGACGCCAAACAAGCAACAAAGATTTTATGTTTATTAATATTTTTAAGTAGATTAGTGTCTTTCTGTACTAGATATGTGAAGCAAATAAACCTTTACTGTACAAAAGAACAACTAAAAAGAGCATGTCAAATTAAGCAGCTAATGTCAAATTGCTGATTATGTGTATTGTATATGTCGTAATAAAACACAAAAGGTTTTGAAAAAATACAGAGACTTAAAATTATGGAGAATTGCAAATAATTAAGATGTATACAGATGGATACTTATGATACCCTGTTACTTCTTAATTTGTAGGGGAAACCCGTAACAAACCTACTTGTTGCCAACATCTTCTCCAGAGACCCGGTTCCCATCAACAATTGTAAATGAGCCAATACCTTAAAGGGGGGGAGGGGGGGAAAGAATAATTAAACATTAGGAACTTATCAGACATATTACTAAGCAATTATAGAAGTGAGGGGTTTTTTTGTAACCTGGCAGCACTAAGTTCTTGAGTATTTCAGTTCCTGTGGCAGTTGCATTTATCACACAAACATGAGCGGATTCTAAAGCTTCTTGTCCATGGTCACCCCATAATCTATAAAGGAATGGAAACAGAAACATTCTGAAAAAATTTCATTTCAAAAGGTAAACCCAATACAAAAAAAAAAATGAAAGGAGCTAAGCAATTGAAAACAGAGGCTAGCATACTACTTTTTGTTCATTGTGAAGCAGAGCTAGCCAGTGTGTGTTAGAATAGGCTTTCATTGGGAAGGTTTACTGTGATGGACCTAAAGCCTTCTAGAGCACAACCTCATTTTAGTGAGGTTTCATTTCCTCCAGTTTTATACTTTATGTCATATGAATATAGAAACTTTTTTGTATTTTAATATAGTTTACTTTTTAAAACTAGCACGGGTCACTGTTATAATTTGAGAAGACACCAGACATTGAAATGTCAACAGTACAAGCAGCTAGATAATAAATCTGGATGAGTTGTACTGCTACATAATGCACTTAGAGCACTATTAAAAGCAAAATGCAGGCTGAAATCCTGACTGTGCCATTTTCAATAGCAAAAACTCCACTGATTTCACTCTCTTCAGCTGTAGGAAAAGAGTTACTGAGGAGACACGGTAAAGCATTACAACTACTGTTAGTCTTGTCCATGCGTGCAAGCATATGAAAGCTAAGACCAGCCCAAGCCACCCTTCCAGCATCAGCTCCTCCCAGCGCGAGCCCCCTCACCCAGCTTCGCCTTTTTTCCTGCCCTCTCCCCCAAGCCCGCACCAACACCCACGAGGCCGCACGGTGGGCCAGGCGAGCACCTTTTCCAAATTAAAGTCCCTTGTCAGGGCCAGGGGAG